CTTAATATTAACTATTTCTAATTAATATATTAATCATATAATATATTAAGAAACATTTTATGTCTCTCTCTCTCTGTGTTTGTATCTCTCTCTCTCTCTCTCTCTCTCTCTCTCTCTCTCTTAATATCAATCCTAGCTATTCTCTAGTTATTAGAGCAACCTAAAAACAACTCTACATGTATTTACTAAGATTATACCAATTTAGTTAAGACCTTAGGCACCATAATCCAACAATATATATATATATATATATATATATATATATATATATATATATATATATATAGACATATTAAAAAGAAACAAATGTTTCTCATATTTAACTACAAATTGATTCAAGAATAATGACATGGGGAGAGTATTAAGTCTGATCCACCAGAAAAAAAAAGTGTGAGGAGAAGGTAGGGCATCATAAATTATGATATGTGAAGGTATTGTGACCCCAAATACATTCATTTATATCACTTCACGGAAATATGCACTCACAATTTTGGGTGAGTGGGGGTTGTCTACCCCAAATAGCGCTATCTACAAAACTGTCGGCTCGAAATACAAGTTAATAGGTTGTAGTTCGGTTCTCGGGGACTTAACATAACAAGTTCATATCATAGAGTTCATATCAATAGTTCATAGCACAAGTTTATAATAGAAAGTTCATAAAAGAGTATCGTTCAATTTCATTAAGTTCATAAAACAATATCGTTCCAAGTTCAATAAGTTCATAGATCAATATCGTTTCAAGTTCAATAAGTTCATAAACCAAGGCTCAACAAGTTCAAAAAATAGAGTTCTGTAAGTTTATAAAACAAAGTTCCACAAGTTCATAAAATAGTACAGATGGCTCATAAAAAAGAGCATGCTTTCTACCCTAAAACATGAAAACAGTAAAAAAAGGGGCTGTGAATACTCATTAGGGAGATTTTGCGGTTCGAGCTTTGCGGTTCGGTGTTGTAGAGATCGATTTCTACTAGTGCCCTATGGAACAAATTGTTTCTATTGAGATACAATTCAGTAATCCATTATCTAATAACTATCTATCCTACTAGTGGTGTCATAAAGGGCCCAAAGTTTGTTCGATTCATTATCGGTAATGTTGAATTCGCAGTGCCTTTGTTAAAAAATCCATAAAGGCATGAAAATGAACTCCAAAAATTGTAAAAATTTATATTATGGCTCTAACAAGGGATAAAGTGTCTAGAAATTTTGTTGAGAAATTTGAAGGAAAGTTGTTATTTATTGCAATTTAAGTCTAAATTAGAGGAAAAATTCTAAATAAATAGAAAACAGATGCTAAAATTCCCAACTTAATTTCCAGAGATTCTTATAATGTTCCCCATGCAGGGAAAAATATTGTTTTGTGATCTTGAGTACTAAGACCTGGATTTGTAAATTCATAACCTAATTAAATGAAAAATCCGAATTAAATACCAAACAGTGACCAAATTGTATGAACATTTAGGTGGCATCCATGTTTTGTACATAAATCAGTTCTATAATTTATTAGATTTTCATCTCATTTGTAAGTATTTATTTATAATTTTTGGCCATCAAATAATGTGGGAAAAAATTATTTCGGAGCTAAATAGGGGTATTTAACCCCAACAAGTTTAGAAAGGTAGCACTAACTAGTGCATGAGTTCCAAATGTAGCTGGAAGTTCAACAATTTTTGTACAAAATTGTATAATGTTTTTGTTAATGAAATTTAGGTCTTCTGAGAAAATGTGTTAAGTTCTTGAAATAATTTTCCCTAGAATTATTGTGGGGTTTAAGGGCCTTGATCATGTAATGAGATACTTGTGATCATAGAAAATTTTCTTTTTGCACAACTGTTTTATCAAAATTGTCAAAATTGAATTCATAATATTTTATAGTAAGAAAACTTGGGTTTGAAAGTTAACTTAGAGAACTACGTCTGATACAAATAATATCATGATTTGGTCAAGAAATGAGTGACATATGGTTTTTCAAAGACGAACAATTGCTTTTAACAGAATGCATGTTACCTTTGATTGGATTAAAGTGCCCCTTTGTGTCATATGTTCACAAAAACAACATGAGTATTATTTTTGGTAGAAGTGAAGGATAACATAGTATAGTTTACAAAGGAACAAGAAACATTGGAGTCCGTTAATCCATGTTATAGATCTAGGTTTATCCAAGGACCCAAAGTAAGTGTTTCATTCTTGTGATAGAGAACTCCTTGGAACCACCAAATCTTACACTAGGATTGCACCGCTAATCCAATTTCTAGCACATGCATGGAGTGAATAAGCATCCAAGATGTACTATAAATGGTTTAAATGGTTTCTGTTATGTAAGAACACAAAATAAATAAAGAAGAAGATGTAATACTCGATTTTTTTGAAATCATATGAGCATATATGGTTCTTTTCACTCTTAGAATGTGTTTGATCCCGGATTTTCACCATCTCAAACACATGCAATGCGTTATGGTGAGAATCTACAAACACCAAGAGGAAAACAAGGATCTCTAGTTATAAAAGGGTATAGAATCCGAAAAGTAAAGAAGAACCATGAAGAAGAAGAGATAAAGCTATAAAACTGTATGAAGGGGTTGTATTGTTCACCTTGATTTCGACTTTAAATGAACCAAGAACACTTCAAGAACTTCAAGAATCCGAAATTAAGGAACAAGATGGAGGATTTCCAGAGGCATATAAGAGCTTTTAGGAATAGGAAAGGTTACCTGAAGAGTGAGAGAGAATTTGGGTGATTTTAGAGAGAAGAATGAGAGAAAGTGAGGTTCTATCTCTCTGGATAAGCGATCTCTCTCGTCATCTCTTTAGGGTTATACTACATTAAAATAGTCCACAAGACTCCGGTAATGTGATTTAACTTCTGAATAATGAAATGGAAAAATCTCTCCCATATAAAATGTATCTAAGATCGGTTTTTCTCTCTCACATTGACATGCAAAATCTGACCTCAGGATTTTGCATAAAGGAGTAATAACGAGTGAGAGAGAGAGAGAGAGAGGAGGAGTGTAGGATTGTGTATGGCCAAATTTTTTAAGAGGAGAGAGCGTTATTATGAGGATTTTTTTTGGTAAGGGTACCCTCTTAAAGCCTTCCCTTAAGTTCTATAAAAATTTAGCTTCAACTTTTATAATAACTCTAAGTATTTTCATGAACTTCCATGCGTTTATTTCTTGGTTTTTATTGAACTATTTGTTTTTAGAAATAAATTCATCAAATTGAATCATCTTGAATTAAGTTAAAAAAATGATAACTTATGATTTGTTATAAAATCAAATTTTTATTTCAAATAAATGACATAAAGGTTAATAACATATGAATGTAGGATTAGACAATCATTGGATTATATTTTTGTCTCATAATTCAAATTATGATATGTGGACATTATTTCCAACTTGAAATTAAATCAAATCATCATTTAACTAATTTGAGTTTGATAAGTACTTAAACTAGTTAAGCACGTCATATGTTCCAATTAATAAATGATGGTATTTAACATACCCTTGAGTTGTGATCTATTGAACACTAGATTACAACCCGTGGAAACCACGGGTAAAAATGAAAAACAATCATAATAATTAAAATTGGTAATGAAAAATCAATGATATGAAATTTTTTATTAAATTAATTAGATATAAATTTTGTTAAGACGTTTAATAAATTGTAATTAACCTACAACACGTGAATCAAGAAAAAGGTAGACATGTCATGCATAGTAATTCGTCTTCCTCTTAATGAAGACATATGTAACTGGATAGTGAAAATTCATCTTTGATACATGTACATGTCCTATACCTTGCACTTCGTAATCAACCTACAACATGTGAATCTAGAAACAGGAAAACATACATTACTCAGGAAGTAGTGTATAAATTGGTTGAAATATTTGAAACTAAAATGCTATGATCGACATTAAGATGAAAGTTTAATACTCAATATTAAAATGAAAGTTCAATGCTATAATTGAAGAATTGTATGAAATTAAAACCCTATAACCCACATTTGCATGTTCATTTTTTAAGAAAAAACATCATAAATAGTCCCTGTGGTTTCTCAAAATCTGAAGTTTAGTCCCCGTGGTTTAAAAACGTCATAGATGGTCCCTGTGTTTTCAAAACTTTTGACGGTTAGTCCTTATTGATAACATTGTTAACTATTGTCCGTTAACTGAAGGGAATTTTCGTCATTTCACTACGACAGGACCACACGGACCATTTATGATGTTTTCACTTATTTAAAAAAATAAAATAATATATAAATGGGTCTCTCTCTCTTTCTCTCTCTCTCTCTCTCTCTCTCTCTCTCTCTCTTTCTCTCCTTATCAACAAGGCTTGTCTTCCCTTACTTGTACTGCTCTCCTTGTATGATACAAAGAGAATAAAACATATGTCTTCTGTGGGTTTTAAGATTCACTCTTAAGTTATTTGATTTCGACTTTCATCAAACATCAACAAAAGAACACAAATTCGCCTTCTTCAATTTACAATTTGATTAGGGTTTTTTATTTTCTGCTTCATCGATCCTTTCTTTCTCTCCCGAGCTCTTGTTCTGTAGGGTTTTTCTTGAGCAAGAGTGGTAGAAGATTACATGGGCCAAATGAGAGAGAACAATAGCAGAAGTAATATGGGCACACCATCTACTAGACTACTACTCTCTTATACGGGTCGGGTGGAGGATCGATTCTTTCCCGAGGTACCACCAATAATTCTTTGTATGGGAGAGGAGGAGGTAGTACTATCGAAAGTGGATGTACCCAGAAATTTCGTTATTACTCTTCTGTGATAAGCTTTCATAATGAAGATAAATCTTTTAAAGCTTAGATCATTTCCCACCCTCACTATTCCAACCTTCTTCAAGCGTATATGGACTATAAAAAAGTGACCTAAATTCATATAATTCTCGAACTCAGAATAATTACAGGTTATATACACAATATTACGAGGAATGAAAATGGGTTAATTTACCTGATAGAAGTTGCAGATAGATTCTTCAGGTTGCAAGATATGCTTGGGTTCGATAAGTCCAACAATATTGCTGACTTGCTGCTCGTGAAATCAAAACTCGTTATTCAAGATCAACTCCCCGAGCAGTTAGATCGTACTTACAATCTCATTGGTCTATCAAACAACGGATCATCTGCATCAAAATGTGAAGTTATGTCCGGAATTGATGATCAATCCATGGAGAAAATTAGGGAAGATAAGGTACTTATAATAGGTAACGCAAAATCGACTTCGTCTAGCTGTAACAAAGAGAAGAAAAGGCTTGATAGAGGAGTTAGGAAAAGTATGTATATTCATCACTCTCTTGTTAAAGAAACGAGGGAACAAGCAAGAGCAGGGGTAAGGAAGAAGACAATTGAAAAGAGAAATAACAAGATTAGAGGGGGTGATGTTGGTGGTTCTGGTGCTGATAAAGTGATGAATCAAAATGTAAATCGATTAGGGTCTTGGAGTCCCTTTGGAGAAAACCAAGCTCAAATAACTGATCAAGCCCTTGCTAGTGATAACTCGTTAGCGATGAGAGAGAGAGAGAGAGAGAGAGAGAGAGAGAGAGAGAGAGAGAGGCCTATTTTTATATTATTTTATTTTTTTTAAATAAGTGAAAACATCATAAATGGTCCCTGTGGTAGTGAAATGATGAAAATGCCCTTCAATTAACGGACAAAAGTTAACGGTGTTAGCAATAAGGACCAATCATCAAAAGTTTTGAAAAAACACAGGGACCATCTATGACATTTTTAAACCACTGGAACTAAACTTTAGTTTTTAAGAAACCACATAGACTATTTATGATGTTTTTTCTTTTTTTAAAGATATTATTGTTTTAGTATTATACATTTCTCAACCCTTATCTGTATGTATTTACAGTTGATCTTTCTTTCCAATATAGTTCTAAAATTGATAACGTCGTTTAAGGGATTGGATGGGACAAAAACTACAAGAATAAAAATTTGTGGGTTGGAAAAAATATATATTTAGGATGCATCATACATCACTTCAAACCCGTTGAAGTATCCTAAAGGCAATGGGTCAAAAATTAGCTTCACAGTTATTACAAAGGACTATAAATTTAAACCAATTTGCTCCAAAAAGAAACATGCTTTTTAATATAGGGGATGCCACTAAGCAGCTAAAAGTTTATTTACTCACATACATTATGTATCGGTTATGTCAAAACTACAATACATAACTCTCCACACTCTTGTGATCTTTAAATTATAGCTTTTATTAATAATGATTGACGTCGCTTCATCTAACTACTTCATACAAATTATTATTTTTTGACAAATAAAAAAGAAATTTGAAATTAACTTTAAGAAAGAAAATAAAATTTGTTTTTAGAAACATATATTTGTCACATACATTTATGAGCCAATAACACTTATTATTTCCATTTGAAAATCATTATTGTCATTTGCAAACTTTTTATTGAATTTGACGTATATCATTTTTAGATATTTTTAGTATTGTGTTTTTTCCACTTATCATTTTCTTGTGTTTTTTATTTTCAGTTAATTGTCACATCATTATATTCATTAATGGAAATGACAATGACAATCATAAATCCGCTCATTCCTTTTTCATTTTCCTGAATGGAAGACACTATTTACAAGAGTTTACCATGTTTAATTAAAATGATTAATATGATTTTTTTTCAGTAAACTCTCGTGTAAATACATGGTGTATCACATAGTTAAATTAACGTATACAAATAAAACTAATAGCTCTTAAGAAATAGAATAATGCAAAGAATAAGAGTAATATTTAACATTTATTATTGGTTGTACCATTTTAAAATTAATTGCAAACCAAATAAAGGTTGATTTATCTAATTTTGAGTAATTTGGTTTCGGCATACTGATTTGGTTAAACATAAAACCAATTAAAATTGAACATGAAAAAAATAAACATATTAAACTTTGACCACATGTAAATAAAAAATAATAGATAAATATTAAATGTAAAACATTTGTTTGAATAGTGGTGTAGTGAATATAATATTATGGCCATAAGCCGATACCAAGTGGTAAAATGAAATTGTAACAAACAAAAACTTCTCTCTTTAATTGTTTAAAAGTGAGAAATGAATATGAAATTTTGTATGGAACAGATATATAAATATGCAATTAAACAAAGACGCACTAAGCTATGAACTAATAAAACTTGAAAGCACTAAGCTATGAACTAATAAAACTTGAAAACAATTACATGTTAAAAGTGATGTCAGCCGTTAGACAACTCAGTAACCTATGAAATAATATATTTTTAAATACCAATAATTATTACATAATAAGTAATAAGTTATCATTTACTTAAGCTTATAATAGTGCTTCTCTATGTTTATCTTCAACAACATCAAAACCATTGTTTGCATTATCACCAACAACAATGGCATCTTAAGTGAAATTCAAAGAAAATTTTCATGAAGTTGAATGAAGCTCTGCAGTAAATGAGCATGATCATAATTCTCAAAGAAAAATGTTTGAATACATTCAAATGAAATACACAAAATCAGATGTTAACAAACACAAACACTCAAATAACCCTTTTAATAACAATTGTCCCTATAATAAAATCTCATTCCAAAATCTAAACTAATAGATTAAGCCAAGTTTACCTCTGATTCCTCCTTGAGAACTTTAAATCCTACACTACAAGAAAAGTCTTTATTAGTGACCAATTTTTTTGTGATGACCTAAAGTTTAATCACTAACAACGTCATTTAGTCACCAAAAATTTAGTCGTCACTCAATTTTGGTAATCCAATAAATTTAATGACCAATTATATGTGGTAGTCACTAAATCGGTCACTACACCGTGAATACAATTAAAATAATTTTGTTTCATATCAAAATAACTATTAGTGACTAAAAAAATGGTCACTCTATTAGAGGCCTAGTGACCGAAAATAAGGGTCACTGTATTGAAGGTTGAGTGACCAAAAATAATAGTCACTAAGTACTTTTTCTCATTTTAAACCATACGCAAACCATACGAAGTTAAACTGTGACGATTAAATGGTGGTCACTGATTTACAAACCGAAAAACAATTGGTGACTATTAATTGTTGTCATTAATTAATATTTTTTTATTTTTGAAAATGAACGGAGCTTTCCCTATTTTCTTTACGAACATATTTTTCGAAAGACTTTATTTGACAAGTCTTTATTTAAGTCCCTATACACTCTACAGTTAACCAAAACCTTCTCATCAAACGTATTTACCATACTACCCTTCTCAATTATTTTTGGCCCTTTTATCTTTTACTGAATTGGGGAAAAAGGTTAGATGTCCATTTACTGTTTTCATCGTAATGTTCAAACTCAATGTCACCGTGCCTCTCTCGTCACCACATCTCTCCTCTTTGCCCTAAGAGGGTGTTTGGATTGCCTTTTAAAATGGCTTTTACTTTATCTTTTGGAAAAAATCCAAAAAGATGTTTGGTAAGGTAAAAATAACTTTTATAAATGACTTTTTCCATAGGGTATTTTGAGACTTTTTGAAAAGTAACGTATACATGACTTTTTCTAACTTTTCAGCAACTAAAAATTGGAAATTACCAATATTCCCTTATCTACCCTAATTAACGTCACATTCATTCACGTCACATTCTTCATAGTTTCTTCTTGTTCTCTCCGCTCACGCTCTCTCTCGTGCATCTCGACCTCTCGATCTGCAACAAACACCGGCGACGCCGGCGACCTGCAACACCAGCGACACCGGCAACCTGCAACACCGGCGACATCGTTCGACTGGAACCCCGCGAACAGGTTTGTTTCTATTCAATTTCCGATCTCCGATGTGATTTCCGATCTCAGATGTTGCTATCTATTTCCGATTTCCTTTTGATTTTCGTTTTCAATTTGATTTCAGATTTCTGAAATTGATATTGTGTAATTGATTTGCTGTGTAAATGATGTGCTGTGAAATTTATTTGCTGTGAAATTGATTTGTTGTGCTCCTTCCGATTTCAATGTCGTGTTTTGAGACCAAAATGTTATTGTCATTAGATATTGGATTACAGCAATAGAGTTATATATTTGAACAAAAAAGTTCACATCGATTTTGTGTTGCAAGATTTTGGTAATTGACTTCCAAAGTCAACATACAAACAAAATTTCATCATAAGCAAACCCAAATATGAGAATCTGGATTATTAGAATGGATTTTGAATTGAAAAACAAAAATGAAATTACTGTTCAAAAACAGAATTTCATCATATAAAATCCATTTACAGTTGCTTACTAAAGGTATGGTTACTTTTTTTTTATTATTAGAATGGATTTTAAATAACCCTTGATTCATCTGTCCCACCCTTTTACCAAGATTATAAAGACAGCAAGTTTATGCTTCTTACAAGGGCCAACAAATAACACTTTTTTTTCGAATGTCATATAAAATTATTTTGATTGAAAAACAAAAATGAATTTACTTTTCAAGTTAGCAATAAATTACAAGAAATATTAAAGGGTTTTTAGTTTTTACCATCTTATATGGGATCATGTTGTACATCATTTTGTTGCAAAATAAGCATATTAAATACCATCTTAAATATCGTTTGTGAGATCACTTATTTATATACTTCATCCACATTACAAACAATACAAGTTTCTCTTTGTTCAAAATATTGGTGTGCCAAAATAGGTTTAAGCGAAATTGACTATATTGTGAAATTGATATGTTGTGATAATCTATTTTTTCTATTTTGATTAGAATTTTGATAAAATAATGAAATCATTTAGAAGGGTTAATGAAATTGGTTTGTTGCTTAAATGTTAATACTATATGTATTCACAGATAATGGATGAAAACAACACTACAAATGTTGATTTTGAAACATCTTTAAAAATGAAAAAACCAAAATTTGGGTGGGATAATCGTAGCTTCATGGTGTTTGTTGATTCGTGCTTGATTGAAAAAAAAAAAAAAAAAAAAAAGGTCGTAAACCCACTTCCTCCTTTGATAAAATTGGGTGGGAAAATATACAAAGACGTATTAAGGAGAAAACAGGTTATAGCCTTGAAAAAAAACAACTAACAAACAAATGGGAGAACATGAAAAAAGAGTGGAAGCTTTATGACCGCTTAATGAGACTTGAAACCGGACTCAGTGGGACGAGAAGCCTAGTAGATGCGTCCCTCGAGTGGTGGGAGGAGAAAATAAAGGTATGGTTACTTTTTTTTTAATTATTTTAAGTTATAATTGCATATAGATTGAACATATTTGATTTACAATATCTTTTTGTCTTGTAGGAGAATAAAGATTATGCCAAATTTAGGAACACAGATTTAAGCATATTTGATGAGAAATATGCTTTTTTGTTTCGGGATTCTGTTGCTGTTGGAGATCAGACTATGACTCCATTACAATTTCAAAACAATAGCAATCCAAACGAAGAAAATATGGAGGGCAAAGGAGATAGTGATGAAATCAATTTAGATGATGATGAGCCTCTTTTTACTAGTCTCCATGAAAGTAGTTCAAGTAAAAGGAAGAGGTCTAAGTCTGTTTCCAACAACCGTCCAACCAAGAGTAAAAATTCTATTTATGAAGAAAAAGTTGATGCTTTATTGGATTCCATATCATCAAAAAGCACACAAACTTATCCACAAAATAATCCGTCCCCAACAATTGCAGATTGCATGGCCATTGTCATCAAGTTCCCCGATTTTCGTGAAGGGTCCAACAATTTTTCACAAGCCTTGTTTGTCTTCACCAAAAAGCAAAACCGTGAAGCTTTTATGTTTCCAATGACCGACGAAGCCAAGATGGAGTTTCTTAAGTTACTTATGAAATAATGATTTAGTCATATGTGTTATGCTTTGACATTTATGTGTTATCCGTTGACATTATGTGTTGTCCTTTGACATTATCCTTTGACATTATGTGTTGTCCTTTGACATTATCCTTTGACATTATGTGTTGTCCTTTGACATTTTATATTATGTGTTATTGTTTGACTTTATGTTATGTGTTAATGGTTGACATCATTTTATTTGTATTATGTAGGATGGATAGTGATGATTCTAATTCATCGAATGATAATGAAGAATGTGTAATGGAAGAGGATAGAGAATTTGAAATGTTATGTGGATTAGCTTTGAAAGGGATAATACTCGCTCGTAACTTACGTACACCATGTCACACTTCAGATCGCACAGGGCACATGTTTATTACAGAAGTACTAAATGGCCATCCTAGACGTTGTTATGAGTTGTTTAGACTCAACGTACCGGTTTTTAGACAGTTATGCTTAGATCTTACTACAAATTACGGGTTACAACAAACCCGAAAAGTATCTATAGAGGAGTCTGTAGGAATATTCTTGATGACTTTGGCGCATGGGTGTAGCAATAGATTTGTGCAAGAATTTTTTAATCATTCAGGGGAAACGATTCACAGGCATTTCCATACAGTTTTGGAAGCCGTGCTAAAACTGAGTGCCGACATCATCAAGCCAGACGCAAACTATAATGATGATGTTCCCGAATATATATTAAATAACCCTCGGTATTATCCAATGTTCAAGGTATTATCCAATGTTTATTTTCTTGGTAGTCAAACTTTAACAAATAATTTATTTATGATATATTTTTGAATTTGAAGGATTGCATTGGTGCTATAGATGGGACACACGTTAGGGCATCAGTTCCACAAAAAGATGAAGTGAAGTACATTGGTCGAAAAGGATATGCAACACAAAATATAATGGTTGTTTGTGATTTTAACATGTGCTTTACATTTGTTTGGGCCGGTTGGGAGGGGACTGCACACGATACAAGAATTTTCAATGAAGCCTTACAGAGACCAGATCTTAATTTTCCCTATCCAACGGGTGGTTAGTATTTTTTTTTTTTTTTTTTTTTTTTTGGAATACAAGTTTTATGTTTTTACTACTTGTTTGAAACGAATAATAAATGTTTGTTTTATTTACAGATAAATATTACGTTGTTGATGCTGGATATCCAAATACGAGAGGGTATCTTGCTCCATACAAAGGCACAAATATTCATTATCATTTACCAAATTTTCGATGTGGACACACGGCTGCTATTCGAGAACCCCGTGGACCGAAAGAGAAATTTAACTATCTCCATTCATCATTGCGAAATATCATTGAACGAACTTTTGGAGTGTGGAAAGCTAGGTGGGCGTTATTAAGAGACATGCATGTTAATTACAAGTACAAGAACCAAGTGAAAATTGTGATAGCATCGATGGCGATCCATAACTACATTCGAAAGGTTGGTAGGTTTGATGAAGCGTTTAATAGGGCACAACAAGAATCCTACAATCCCGTACGAGGTGATACCGGTAGTGATGTTTATGAAGAAGGTCCAAGTACACGTCGCACGAGTAATGATGATTTATATATGGTAGCGAGATGGGATATTATTGCACAATTTGTATGAACGTAATTTTAATATTGTCATGGTCTAATCCAAAAAATTAGAAATATTTTAATTTGTATGAACGTAATTTATATTTTACATTTATATGAACGTAATTCTAATATTGTCATGGTCTAATACAAAAAATCTTCTTATAAATTATTTACAATTTGTATGAACGTACTAATTTTAATATTATCATGGTATAATCTAAAAAATTAGAAAAATTTTAAAAGAAATTTATATTTTATATTTTCTAATAAAATGTTTATAAAATTATAATATGTGTTTAAATTTTTTTTTTATATAAAATAATATATGTAAAGTAGTAAATCAATGTAAATATGTAAACATGTCCTTTTTTGTCATTTTACATATAAAAGTTAAACCAAACACTTTAACTTTTGACTTTTCCCTTCAAAAGTTAATCCAAACACATTTTAAAAAATAACTTTTCCAAAAAGTCCTTTTCCAAAAAGTCCTTTTACAAAAAGGACTTTTGCCCCACAAAAGTTAAACCAAACACCCTCTAAATCGACATATCAACCATCGGCGATTCGGCACCAGTGTTACCAGTCAATCATTGTTCGTCAATCGTTGTCAGTCCATCGTCTTCGGTCAATTGTAGCCGGGACATACCCTCCTATGGACACACCTCGGTTCTCCACTAGAATTCAAACATGTACTCTTTTCTCCACTCCGACCATTGATGTAGTTACATCTTCTCCACTAGAATTTTTCAGTTGCTAACTGATCGGCTCCTTGATTCCTTTCTACCAAATAGTACCTAATATCATAGCAACTAGAAACATGAATTTCTCAACAAACATAAAAGCTTCATTAAATTAGCATATATTTTACAATTAGTTGTTTTTTGTTTATTCTGCCATTCTACCAAACTGTTGAATTCGAACCATGCTATGAGGTTGTCTCCACACTTCTCTTTCATCAGTCACAATGGAAATCCAAATTCCATTCATTCTCAAAACACCTCTCTTACATCAGAAAATTTATCAAGGTATTTTTTATTTGGTTGTTTTGGCGGATATAAAGCAAAGCATTCTGAAGGGAGATCATCTCTTCTGGCTCTATAAGTTCTTGATATTTTTCATGACTTTCTCCTTCTCCAAGGCCTGCACACAGATAAATATGTTGTAAGTAATCTTTCTTTATTTAATAGTCATGAAATCTGTGATGGCCTTAATAAGTAATTACATATATAACATAAAAGAGTTATTAAACCTCACAACTTCCAGATTCTACTTTAGACTATTTGGCATGCTAGTTTATATTTAATAGATCTATAAGTTAGTAGCACATTTCAGTTTTGATCTCATATACAAAGTTTAGATTAACTTATTGCTCAATTTAACGATCCCACTTGATTTTTCTTAATTTTTATCATTGTTATTATACAATTAACTCTCTTCATGATTTTTTTCTTTTATCATAGCATATGGACAAGTCGTAGATGAACAACACTAATCATGTGGAAAAGACCCTTTTGAGTCTAATTCGGGTTTTCAGAGAGCCAACAACTTACTACAAGTGAAACCACAGATACTAGTACAACACTCTATTTAGTCATTCCGGAATCATGCTTAGTTGCTGAAAGAGCTGAGGGGTTAAAGATAAGCTTCAGGGAAGAGGTTGATGATGAACTAGAAGGAAAGAATAAAGATGCAAAAGTGTTGATGTAAGTAGCTTTGAGCAAGTTGTACATTTATTATGTTTATGATGCACTCACATCCAAGGGTATAACTGTAAATTCCATTGTTTTTCTTTCAGGTATGTGGATGTTATACTTCACTTGATCGACAATGAAGACCTTCAGGTACTATATATATATATATATATATATATATATATATATATATATATATATATATATATATATATTATACCTTACTTTATTTATACAAATAAAATCATTTATAAGTTTTAAAACTCTTTCTTATCGTATAATTCATTAGCCTTATTCAGAATTAAAAGCCAGAGAGTATCTTGATAAACCCGACATACATGAGACAATGGTGAAGGTATGTGTGTGAACTCTCATTTTATAACTCCTTAACTTTTTAAAAATATGATTTTATATTTTAAATAATTTAATTTTATTGAAATGAACAAGTGAGTGCTTATCTTCTTAGAGAATACAGCCACCTTTTGGCAAGACGCCCTAGTTGTAGTCCAAAGGAAATTTTGAGCCTCATACATGAGAAGCTTCCTACTGAATTGTACGTATACATCGTTATTTACGCTTTTGCCCTTGTGTTTAGTATTTAATTAATTATCTTTTTTTCAGGACACCAACAATCTCTATCCTTCTAACAATATATGCAAAGATTTTGATGCACTCATAGTCACCAGATCCTGAATTACAGAATCAAATCTGGGCAAATTACAGCAAGTTTGTTTACATTTGAATATCTAATGTCATTTCATTATTTATTCATAAATTCATATTTTTTAACCACAAATTTGTTTTTAATTTAGATATGAAAGTTGCATTGATGCTGAAATACAACAAAGAGCAGTGGCGTATTTTGCATTGAGTAGGAAAGGTGAAGCTTTAATGGATATATTAGCTGAAATGCCAAAATTCCGAGAACGCCAGGTATATTTTATTATATGGACTTCTTCTTTTGAAATAAATCTTTCATCATTTTTTTAAAAATTTAAATTTAAATTTTGTGTTGTGAAGTCTTCGTTGATTAAAAAAGTGGAAGATACAGATGTTAACACAACAACAGGTGTCTACTACTTTAGTGGTGACAGATCAGCGCCCTTCTAATGGGGCCCCGCAAGTGAGTCAACTCACTATGGTGATGATCCCTACCACAAACGATACAGTGAGGGTCCTACACACCGGATAAAATTATAATTTTAACTCTGGTTAGAATATAGATATTTTTTTTTATATTTTTGTAATTGGTATATATGTATATTAGGATCATACTCCCCCCATTGACTGAGTCAAATGGGGATTTGACCATTGTTGACCCTCAGCCTTCTGGTGATCTTTTAAGCTCACTGGCTATTGACGAGTCTTAATCAGTCCATGATGTTGGTTCAAATGACGATTTAGCCCTTGCACCTATTGAAAACCAGGAATCTACTGTCAATGTTCTATCTCTTTTTCCCTTAAAAAAATCTTTATTGATTTTTCATTTTTAATTATCATTTATCTTTTTTTTATTAATCCTTCACAGCCAAAAGGAGATATTGCAGAAAGATTTCATGCTTTATGTCTCAAAGATAGTAGGGTTCTATATGAAGATCCTTACGTTCAGATAATTTATATGTTTTTTTTATTATACAACAGTTTATTTAAGATAATTAATATTTAATATTATTAATATTGTTACTGCAGATTGGTATTAAAGCAAAATGGAGAAATCACCAGGGTAGTACAAGCAGGGTAGTACAATATTATTAATATTGTTATTGCAGATTGGTATTATTAATATTGTTATTGTATTACTTTTAGGAAACAAAAATATGGGTCCACTTGATTTAGTACAAGCAGTGGTTTTACCTCCACGTGCACAAGTCATATTATTTTTTACTTTTTACTTTTTTTTTAATTTAAATGTTTTATTAAATTGTTTTTTTTTTTTGAAATTGTTTAGGGATGTTGTTGTTCTTGACTTCTCCTACAAGTTTTGGAGACAATTGGTATTTTTTATAGTTGTAGTGGTATTTAATTTAATTAGATTTTTTTAACTTTTTAAATGTTTAATTTGTTTTTGGTTGTACAGGTTGAACAAATTTTTTACTCCTATTCAAGTTACCACTGAGGAAGTTTTCTCTAAATGGAGATCACTATCTATTATCCATTAAAACTTCAAGAAGTGGATTGTCCATTTTACCCCTCCTTCCTCTTTACATTATTAAATTTTGTGGAAATTATATTATATTGACTTCCAAGTTCCATCATAATTTATACAGGTAAGAGGTGTGAGAGCAATGTCATTAGGAGAAATGGCAAATTTGTTTAACACTTTGAGATTGGTGGTTTGTCTTGGACCGGTAAGTTCTTTCTATTATTTATTATCTATAATAACAATGTACTTTCATTTAATTTTTTAACTATAAACAATTTTTTGCATTATTTTCCGGATCCAAATGCGCTTAATTTAGTAGCAAGCACAACCTTCTATTCAGAAAGTACACGTGCAATGTTATGTCTGGTCAGAATAGAAACAGATCCAACTGAAAGATTAGTGACGACCAAATGTCGATCAAATGTGGTGATTAATACATTCTTATGCTCCTATGCAGGTAGGTTGGAACTTTATGGATCACACTCCTAAAACTCGCTCCTCGTTATCTGGACTTTTAATCTGCATTGATCTTTATTGACCCTTTTTTTGTTTAAATGGATAAATTAGTGACGACCTGTTATAGTCACTAATCGGATAAACCAGTGACGACTTTCTTTTGTCATTAATCGGATAAGATAGTGACGATTTTTTATTGGTCACTAAGTAGTTAAAACAGTGACGACTTTCAATGATTAGTGACAATATTTAATGACGAAACTAGTCATCACAGATTTAGTGACGCATTTACTTTAGTCACTATTTAATGACCATATCTTATTTTGGTTACTAAATCGGTTTTGTGATGGATCTATAGTGATGAAAAGTGACAACCAGAATTTTAGTCACTAAATCATTTAGTGGCAACTAGTTCTATCGTTAATGACCATTTCATTTTGGTTACTAATTGACATTTTTTTTATAGTGCTAGATGCATCCAAGAGGCTTTTCTATGGAACATCAAATATGATCATACATAAGAACATGAAGCAAACAATGACGAAAACCAACCCTCTCTTTCCTATTCACATAAAGTTGATTAATTACATATGAAGAAAAAAAACATCATTAAGGGTTCTAGTTTGAAGAACTAACTGACGTTCCAGATCCCCTTTTAACTAATGTTAATTACATTTTTAAATGCCAAAATCAACTTTATATTTAATAAATAAAATGATTATTTCTTTTACAAAATCTTCAAACCAACAACTAAAAATAAAAATAAAAAGATGATATTCATTCAAATATGGTTTCCAGATGTGATATAAAACCCGTTATCTTAAGAAAGCTGATCTCGATAATAACATCAACACTTTGATTCTGAACATTGGTTGAAGCCTAGTTGCCAAACACGCCTAAAAACCATGACAAAAACATCAAACATTCAACTATTTTAAATAGTTTCATCCAAATTCAACTAATTGAAAAAAAACAAGATTACGAATTAAAATGTTTTCAAATCAGATGTATGAGAAAATATGAATAAAAGAATGTTTGGTCTCCTTTTTTTCCACTTTGTGTGTCTACGAGTTGAACTTGTTTCCAACTCTTAGTCATCCTTAGGAAGAAAAAAGACTTGTGTAAGAAAGACTTTGTTGTCATCAAGACAACAGAAAAGGAATAAAAGCATAATAAAATACAAGTAACTGATAACTGTGGTGCGATAACTCTAGTGCAACGATAGTTGGGAAAGAATGACCTAAAACCAAGCATGCACAATCGATGATCATTTACAAACCTAATATTCGAATCTAGGAAATTAAAAAAAAATCATAAAATCAATGAGAAGGAGTCCACTTATCAGTTGAATGGAGTACCGTTAAAACTTCTTTTGATATCATTGTTATTTGTAAGAATCCCTAAGCTTTCGAATAAACCCCGAAAAATATGGTATAACTCTGCAATTCACTTGTTTGGCCTAGCTAATTGGCATGTTGCTTCCAATAGAAATAAAAATACCAATTTCAAATTTCAAACAGAATTGAGAATCACATAAAATGAAGAACAATGAATGGTGTACACGTGTGCATATGTCACCAAGAAAAAACATCACCATCACGATCTCCACAACAAGATTAATTAATCGATATTAAAAACCCTAATTTACTTACCTGGAGTGGAGAAATCCATAGATGAAAGAGACAAAGACGAATACGGAGAAGGAAGAATGAATTGGCGCAAGAAACATCAAAGGCTTATTAGGAAACGGGATGGGATTGATTAATGTAAAAAAATCGGATATTAAATGCTGATTTATTTTGACTTGGACATTATATAATTATAGAAGGGACACGTGTGAATTTAGTTTAGCTTATTAGATAGGGATATATGGTTTCATGTTTATTTTTGAGATTGATCTTTGGCACTTTACAACCGAGTTGGAATATTCACATATCAATTTGAAAACTTATTACATGCTATGCTACACTACTTGTTCCGAGGGATCTATTAGGTCGTGATCTAGCTCAACTTGTTGTTTATAAAGCCAAGTTATGTGCACGCATGGAAATAACAAGGTTCTAGATGAGTACTAACCTGATTTTTTCAACTGGCGGTACGCTTGGTTCAGACGTAGAAAATTGTTGAGGATATTTGTTCTTCATAAAATTCTCCCGTTCCCATGTAACTCAGGTTTGTGCCTAGAATTCAAAAGAACCTTAACAATCAGGATTTTGCTTTGTTTACGCTGCTTAACCTCCCGATTGATGATTTTTATTTGTTCATCCATGAATTTTAGTCGATCATTAATTTGGAGGTCCTCTAGAGGTACGTTTAAGGATTCCTCCACCAAAGCAGTTTTTGAGGTTCAACACATGGAATATGTCGTCTATCACACTAAGTTCTTCTGGTATGTTGAGCTTATATGTCACTCGACTGATCATTTCAATAACATTGAAGGGTCCTACATAGCGAGGAATTAGTTTTCCTCTTTTTCCAAAGCGTAAAATTCTTTTCCATGATGATATTTTTAAGAGTACTTTATTTCCCACTTGAAATTCCAAGGGTTTCCTATGGTTATTAGCATAGCTATTCTTACGAACGCAAACACCTTCCAGTCTATCATATATTTTTGTGATCTTGTCAGTGCTTTCTTGATCTTTACCAAGCCTCATTAATTGCTATTGCCAATTTCCAGCCAACAAAGGGGTGATCGACATTTAAGCCCGTACAGTGCTTCGTAGGGGAGCACATTTAACAATGGCATGATAGTTGTTGTTATAGGAAAATTTAACTAATCATAACTGGGAGCTCTAAATACCTCCTAAACTTATCATATGGGCTCGGAGTTTGTCTTTCAAAGTGTAGATAGTTCATTCACCTTTCCATACATCTGAGGATAGTAGGTAGTACTTACGTTTAATTATGTACCGAGGCTTTTTAAAATGACTACAAACACAAGGAGACTCTCTATCCAAAATAATGGAAATAGGTACTCCATCACATACTACGATCTCATCTATGGAAATCACAAAATTTTTGATTCGGTAATCTTCTTGAATGGGAAGGAAGTGTGCAAATTATGCCAACAGATTCGCCTCTATCCAAATCGGGTTGTTTCCTTTAGCAATACTTGTCAATCTCCGTTAAAAAAATTATATCCACCATCCTGATGGTTTGAATACCCCATCTGAATTGCAAGAGGATCGACACCATTTGGACAATCTGAGGTTTACCAAAGATTGGTTGCTTATGGATAGTTACAAGTATAGTGTAAATTTTGGAAGGACCATGTTGACATATTCTAAAAAGAGGCAACTATTGTTCAGAAGTGATAGTCAAAATGGGAATATGGAAATGTTCCATAATTGGAAGTTATTTTTTAAATCTATGTAAGATTAGGAAACTTAATGCAAGAAGGATGTTCAAAGGAATGTACATTGAATTTGAGAATTCGATTCCATGGAATTACTCTCGAGTGGAATACTTTTTAATCTCTGTTGCCAAGTTTCTGTGACTTTTGTGCATAGTC